GTTAATTTTTGCAATAAAAAGAAAACTTCGATCTGGCCCAGGATTATCTATTTGTAAAACTATTTTTTTTATTTGATTGATTTTAGATGAATCTCTTATGAGTTATGATGGTCACCGCCAGGACCGTTTTTTGAAACAGGGTCAACAAAAACAGCTATAACTTTGAGAATATTTAATTTTTTTTTCTGAAATTTTTGTTACTTCAAGTCTTAGGCCGAGAATATTAAAATCTAAAATTAATTTGTGAGCACACTATTAAGAAATGCACGCACATTGTTTCTGCCATTTGCATTGAAAAAGTAGTTTGAGAATTGGAATGCGTCAAATCAAAATTGCTATGGTTGATGGGGAAAATCTTTTTCTTCGGCAGTTCTTTGCATATAGAGCAATTACCCTTATATTTGCACTCTGAAATGCCACGTCGCGATGCTAAACGGGAACAAAAAAAAAAACAAAAATAAGTTACCTACATTTTCAACAACTTGAGGCACTTAAAAGAGCCTAAAAGTCAAAACTGTCTGGGTGTAGTTTGAGTTTAGGTCATTACGATTTTAAAATTTTCCTGAAATTTATAAAAATGTAGGTAGGTTATAGACCTTATAATGGATCTTATATGGACTAAATTATATAGGCATTATAAGGTCTTTAGATAGGTTTTTTCTAGCTTTTTTGTATAGCGAAGGGAATACGTTTACGTATTAAGCAGACGCGAATTGCTGGAATTATGTCGGACTCAACAATGTTAATACCGACTAAAACCTCCGATTTTCCCAGGCCTTGTAACTCCCACGGAAACCGCCGTTAGGCATTACTTCGCGGGGAAGTATCTTGCAACTGCTTTTCTTCTAATACCTAAGATGTCTTACATTATTCTCTCGCTCTTCTTCTCTCAATGTGACACAGAGCTCAACATACGTACTACTGGCGCTCCAGGCTGCTTTTGATGATAGCATTGCTTCCATTAGTGTTCCTGGTCGAATTCTCTGCTTTAGGATTGTCTTCAGTTCATTCTGCTGTTTACTAAAGCGCGAACACTCAAAGAAAGCATGCTCTGCATCTTCAACTCCTCTGCAAACTGGGCACTTGGGAAAATCATCGTGATAAAGCGATGAGGATAATCCCGAAAGCAGTCCAGACAGCATCTGCGTTAGATAGTAGTTGACCTCTCCATGCCTTCGGTTCAGCCAAATGTCAATCTTAGGTATGAGACGATGTGTTCATCTACCCTTTTCTGCGGCATCCCGCTGTAGTTGCCAACGCCTTACGCTGTTTCGACGATCTGCGTTGGTAACGGTTTCGTATTTCCTCAGCTAAAACTCTAAGAGGCAAAGTCGCGGCAATGACACACGATTCCCTAAATATTGTGCGAAAGCCGCATATTACTCGTAAGGCACTCAGGCGGTATACAAGACCAACTTTTCTCCACGCTTCTAGGAGCTCTAGTGCATCTGCCCAAATAGGTACTTCATAAGGTTACCGAGGCACTGATGAAAGTATAAGTCTTCTGATCTGCTTTGGTCCACCGATATTAGGCATTAATCGTGCAAGACAGGAACCCACTACTTAAGCTTTGTCGCTTACTTGTTTTACCTGCTCTTTAAAATTTAGTCAGGCATCAAGCATCACTCCTAAATATCGAATATAAGGATGTGATATGATTTTTTGTTCACCGACTTTTAACTTTATATTCTCTGATTTTTCAGCTGGTGACAAGTACTGCTTCTGTCTTCTGTTTAGCTAGATGAAGATTAACAGTATTCATCCACTGATTTATTATCTCGAAGGTTACGTTGAACAAATGTCGTATTTAATTTAGATATTTCGCGATGATCACAGTAGCAAATGTCACTAGTTTGGCGCGCCTTGGAATCTTAAGGTACACTTCCGGTGATATTATATTTTTTCGAACTATTCTTTGTGTCGTATATCAGGATTCTATTCGTAAAGTAGCTTGACACCCACCCACCCTAGTACAGGGTCCGACACTCGAAGTGTAACCAATTGAAAAAGCCATAATTCCAGTTTGGAAAATTATTTTTACTCGATTCAAAGTACAAAATGTGTAAAATAATGCAAAATTTAAAAACAATTCAATTTTGCTCGATATGACTATATTTTGCTTTGATTATGGCCTTTAGATGGTCCAAAAATGAATCGCACTGTGCCCAAATGTGACTTGCAGGTATTTTGTCTCACTCGCGGACAACGGCTTTTTTCAGCGCATAGGATTCGCGTCTGGTGAATTCGAGAGCCATTGTGCGGACGTTATTTGCGGAACGTTGTTTTTCAGCCATTCTTGGTTTACTCAAGCTTTATGAGACGGTGCCGAGTTTTATTGAAACGTCCATCGTCTACCACCGAAATGTTTGTCTGCCCATGGCTTCAATGCAACCTTCAGAATTCTTTCCCGATAATATTGCACATTTACCTTGACGCCAGACTCGATAAAAACGATTGGAGATCGCCTATCTGCGATTACAGTGGCCCAAACGGCGGATGCTGCCTGGTGGCCAATCGATGACTCAAATTCTTGCCTGAATGGTTGGTCAAGTAAACCCTATCGTTTTGAGAGTTTACGAATTGCTCAATTGTAAATATTTTCTTGTCGGAAAACACAATATTCGGAAATTTACCACTTTCGGCAAGGCGAAGCAACTCCTTCGCTCTCTCAAGTCTCACTTGCTGCTGCTTCGGCGTGAGATCATGCGCCTTTTGGATCTTATAAGGCTTGATCTTGAGATGATTTTTTAGAACGCGGCGGATGCCACGGTCAAATATGTTAAGTTCTTTTGCCATTTGATTGGCAATTCGTCGGGGATTTTGCTCGAGTCGCTTTTTCACTTTTTTGACGTTTTGCGATGCTACCAGTATCATTGTAACGAGTTATGGTGTGATAAATGAAAACTTTATTCTCTTAAGGCAGGGGTGGGCAAATACTTTAAAGCGCGGGCCAAAATGAAATTTTCAAAATGTCTTCCGGGCCGAAGGACTATACCGCGTATGCTTTGCACAAGCCCTTTTTTTGACAAAAACACTAAGTATCATTTCAATTTGAATAAAATATGTCACGTAATTTTTAAAGAAATATTATTATAAATAATGGCTTCTCTTAACGATACAAATTATTTTATATTGACACATAGTTATTACAATTTAATATTTATATTGCATTTCGTAAATATAATAGTAAATAGAATACAAAAGGAAAAGAAAACGTCAAACGTTAAAATAAATATTTAAAGTTAATGCGAAACGTGAAATCTCGAATGTTCATCTGACATTATTTCTTCAAAATTGGGTTCCAAATCACTTGTAGCAATGCTTAATATCGAGTGTAGATTTTCGTCAGTAATTTGGTATCGATATTTATTTTTCGTGGAAACCATTAAAGAAAAAATTCTTTCACAAATATATGTCGATCCAAATAAAACAAGGTATTTTTGAACATAGTTTAAAAAATGTTTGAAATGTTCGTCCATAGAAAGCACTCAATTCGTTTGAGTGAAAATTTTCTCTTAGTAAATAATTTGATTGTAAGTCGATTAGTTCTAGTGTAATTTCAACAGGAGCTTTTTACACATCGAAATTGAAAGGCTGGCTAATTAATGGTAAAGGTTTTTCAATAGCTTTAAAATCTTAAAATCTTCTTTGGAATTCAGAATGCAGGTCTTGTGTTATTGCACTATATTTAAAAAAGTCGGGATTTTTCAATGATTATTTGCCGTGCTTGCAATGAGGGGAAATGACTTGATATTTTATTATTAAAGTTTTCAGCAAATAAATTGAGTTTTGCCATAAATGCTTTGACGTTTGAGTGCATATTGAAAGCGAATTAGTTTTTTCCTTGTAGATTTATAGTTAGTTCATTCAAATATTTTGCGATATCTACTGAAAACGAGAAATCGTTTAGCCAAGTCTTATTTTGCAATTTAGGAAAATCATGTAGTTTTTCTTTTATCGACAAGAAGGATAGTATTTCATCAAGCAAATATTGAAATCTGTCCAAAACATTACCAATGCTAAGTTATCTCACTTCAGTGTAATAAGGAATTTCGTAGAAGTCACTCTCAATTTCTTTAAAAAATTCAACAAACTGTCGATGATTTACGGTACGTCCTCGGATAAAATTCACAACCTTGGCCACAACAGTAACGACGTGATTCTGGTCGTAACTTTTACTTTGTCGCGAATTCGTTTAAGTAAGCCTACATTTTACCCTGTTAAACTAGGACAACCATCCGTAGTGACGCTTACTATTTTATTCCAAGTTAGACTTACTTTAATTAAATACTCTTCAACAGCGAGAAAGAAGTCTTTACCAGTAGTTGTATCTTTCATTGGATGCACACTAAGAAGTTCCCCGCTAATTTCACATTTCTTGTTAATGCCGCGAATAAATATTAATAATTGACTTGTATCAGTAATATCGCAGGACTCATCTAAAACCAGAGAACAATAGGTAAAATCAGTAATTTTTGTTCTTAGCTGATCGGTCAAGTAAGTTTCCTGAAATATTTTCAATCCGTCGTACTATTGTTCTTCTCGAAAGGCTTTCATTTTCAAAAATATGTTTCTTTGCAGGACAACATATCTCCGACACTTGTACCATACATTGTTTAACAAATTCTGCTTCAGAAAACGGCTTACAGAACTTAGCAATTTTGTGTGCGACAACATAACTTGCTTTTGTGGTAGATTTCTCTATATAACTTTGTTTGGTAAAAATATTTTGTTGCTTATTGAAGTTTTTTGCTTTCTGCTACAGTTTGATGTTCTTTTAAAGGAAGTGATGCATATTTTGGATGTTTAAATTGTCTTTAAATCTTTCAAAAACAGCAATTGTTTCCTGACAAACCAAACAAATTGCTTTCTTATTAATGTTTGTAAAAAGATATTTTACCGTTCAAGCTTCATTGAAGTTTCTGCATTCCAAATCAACTTTTCTTTTTTTAGATTGACTCATTTTACAAAGGCTTACAATTTACAAATAAATAATTTATTTAATACATAAAATTCTCTATTCTGAATGTCTCTGTTCTTCCAACAATGTCGGGGATCGATTTGACATATTTCAAGTTAAAGCGTGTTCCTTGCACGTATTCTGTGAATGCATTCGCTGTGATGCCGTAGCCAGCCAATCGTTGTATGATTTCTGGACTTCTAGGTCCTATCGGTAGCGTGTTTCCAACCAAATTTTGCGTGAATCGCGTTCCGGCTGGACTTCTAATCCTGAAGTTTGGCATGCGTTCGAGATCTGCTGCAGGCAGAGCCATAACCATATCTCCGGCGATTGCTAAAGACGGAACCTCTTCGAATAAGTTATGCGTTTCCTCGTTTACTGCATTTGCATGATACCCACCATGCCCTTGTACTACAGTGATTGGTAGGGCTGGGACTTGTAATCTCGTCTCTTTGCCCATTTTGTCGGTGCAGTTTCCTATTTTTACCAAGTAGGTGAAAAGGCGCTGTGGTACATTAAAATGTTCATCGCTGACAGCTTTTCTAATCGCCTTTTCCTCGGTAGTAAGAGCTACTCCTCCTTCTTTTGCCTTCACGTCAATTAGCTTCATCCATAATAGTGAAGTAGCGTAGTACGCCATTTCTTCTTTCATTATGAGACGACCCAATTGCTTCTCGTCTGGGCGGAAGTTTTGGTATGTATCAAGAGATATATCTATCACCCGGTGATAACTCGATAGGAACCCTTGTCTTGGCGCAATTTCAGTCACCGTTACGTCAACGCCGAATATAGCTTCGGATATTAGTGATTCATTCCGCTGACTCGTCGGTGCTTCTGGGGTCTATGTTGCGATTGCTTCGCTCTCGGTCTATCTTTGGTCTCATCCCTTTTCTTCCAACTTTCGAAGGGTCGAAGTTTTCGGTTTTGCCCTGATATCTAGGCGCAATCTTCTTGATTTGTTCAGACGTGTATGCTTGCTTGCCGTCCATTTTTTCTTGAGGTATTTATTTCCACACAGGAACCAGTTACCCAAACTGGGTAATTACGTTATCTTTATTTACAGTGTGAACTAAAAGTCAATTTGCTTTTGACTGGGTCCTTAGATAAACAAAAAAGTAAAAAGACTTACAGTGCACTCTGTATAAGTATTACAGGGTTTATAAAGAGAAGTTTAAAACTACCTTGAAATTGTAATCTGAATGTTTAATTCTTCTCCATTTTGACCTGCTCATTTTAGGATTTATATGGAAGTTCCAAAGCAGCTAGCTATACACGTGTAGCCTCTATTATTTCCATGGTAACTAATTCAATGTAATTCAATATAAAAACACATTATTTTTATAATATTGTACTGTACCTTTAAAGGAACAGTCAAAAAGACTGCTTTTACGTGGTCGTCTGAGCACTTGAGTTCCGCTGATTTAGTAGAACTGTAAGTCTTACCAGATTCACTAAGGCAATCATCCACATTAACTATTTGTTGAACCTTTCCAAGTGCATCGTCAGAAGTCACATTAATGATGAGCATGTTGCCTTGATAATCAACATTAATGTGCGTATTATCGGCAATTACCACATACTCCTGATCAACATTAGTGCGGCTATTGAGTACCTTCTCATCATCGAAATTGTTGGTTGAACCTTCAACCTGGCATCCATTACTTTACGTTTTTTTACGTTTTACACAACACCATACATATATATAAACACACCACACCAACATATATATCTCTATAATTAATTATTGTCAGGACTCTATAAATTAAAACAACACGATGCAGTAACCTTTATAACTTTATTCAATTTTCTCCAGTTCGTCTTAACACTTTCACTCTATAACTCACTCTGTTTCCGACTTCCTTCTCGCAACATTCACACTGTTCGTACTGTCACTCATGCCAACTGCACACACACGCTTAAGTCTTACCAACATTAACATTACCAACCGCACGGGACTGTCATGGTCCGCGCCATATTCAAACATGCATTCAAACATTCACACAATATATTTCGCTAACAATATATATATATAATATATATATATATATATATATATATATATATATGGCGTCTCCCTACACCTAGCGGCGAGAGTAACAACCAGAAACGCCAATACCAACTTCATAGACACGTTGCGTGTGAAGAACGTCGCAAACTGTCAAGTATGCGACGGCGCATCGTGCAACACTTGCGTGGGCTCGAGGGATGCGAAAAATGCAATCTCACCCTCTGGTGCATCAACCCTTGGAAGAGTGAAGATATAAACCTAACCTAAATACACTTTATATCAGTGAGATGCTTTATACTTGTTTTGTTATTATAAATTAAACTTATATACACGTTATTCAGTTCTTTTAATTATAAATATAAATTATATATAGACCCAACATCTATATAATTGGTGACCGCGACTGAGAAAACACGTGGCTGAATTCTGATCTTGATACTACAAGCGAGGTATACTATATCATTAATAATGTCTTCACCCGCAAACACTGAAGCCTCACAAGATCTAAATCGATCGCTCATCGATTTTGACGAAACTCAAGTTCGCACGCCATGTGCGAGCAACTCCAACCAAGTGAACAATGATTTAAAAACGGAACAAATTTACAACGTGGGCAGGCATACAATAACCCCGTTCATGGAAGATGCTCCTGATCTATGGTTCCTGTTGATTGAGACAGAGTTTCTTGGAGATAGGATCAAATCCGACCATGCGAAGTACACGGCGGTATTGCGTGCTCTGGACAGGTCCACTTTACACCTGGTAAGCGATGTGTTGCGAAATCCGCCAACCGAAAATAAATACAACACGTTGAAGAGCATAATCCTAGACCGAGTATCCGAGTCGAGGTCAAAGCAAGTAGACAAATTGTTAACAAACGTTGTCCTAGGTGACAAAAAGCCATCCCAGCTACTACGGGAAATGATTGACCTGGCTCGGAGTGAAATCTCGGAGGATATCATCCATAAACTTTGGTTGGACAGACTCCCACAACACATCCGGCCTCTACTGCTTGTATCGAAAAACATTGGGCTACAAGCCATTGGCGAGATGGCAGACAGGCTTGTAGATACTTGTGGACTGCCATCATCGGTGATGGCCACAGCGAGCAGAGCACCTGAACCAAGAAGTGACCGCACCCAAGAAATTCTGCTTGCCATGATGCAGAAACTAAATGCCTTGACGACAGAAGTGGAGAATTTAAAACATAGCAGAGAACATGACGAGAGAAGCAGGACCAGAAGTCACTCCAGGCACAGGAGAGGGAGATCAAAGACGCCGTCCAAATCACAGCTATGCTTTTACCATAGCAGGTTTGGAGAGAAGGCTACCAAATGCATAGAACCCTGTTTGGTTAAGACTCTCCTGAAGCCGGAAAACTAAAGTCACCAACACCAGGAGCAAGTAATGATGGTGATATTAATTCTGTCTGTCCAGAGCTCCGACTATGTGTGACAGACAGAAAAACACGGATAAATTTTCTTATAGACTCTGGCTCCGTTCTCTCGATTCTTCCAGCTAGCAAGTTTGCAACCGGTCGTGCCAAGGAAGAGCATGTTCTGTATGCAGCCAATTCCAGCCGAATATCCACCTATGGAAAGCGGACTCTCGAGCTGGACCTTTCGCTGCGCAGACCCTTCACTTGGCAATTCACAGTAGCAGATGTGGCAACAGCCATAATCGGTGCAGACTTGCTAAGCTACTACAATCTACTAATAGACCTGAAAGGCAAAAGACTAATTGATTCAACGACAGGCTTAGCCTCTGATGGCAAAGTGCTGAAGACCCAGAACATTAACATTTCCACAATTAACCCACACCAACCTTTCAGGAGCTTACTAAACAAATATATAACAATCACTAGAACGCCACAGAGACTAACAATTAAACCATCTCCTTTCGCACACAGGATTCCCACAACAGGTCCACCAGTCGCTGCCCGGTTCAGGAAGATTTTTGGTGAGAAAGCATCAGCTGCAAAAGCCGAGATACAAAATCTCCTGAACAGAGGCATTTTGAGACCTTCAAGCAGTCCGTGGGCAAGTCCAATACATATGGTATCAAAAAGGATGGATCTTATAGACTCTGTGGTGACTATAGAAAACTTAATTCAAGCACGCAACCAGACAAATATCCTCCTCCACTAATCAGTGATGTTTTTACAAACCTGCACAATAAAACAATTTTTTCAACAATAGATCTTGCAAAAGCGTATCATCAGGTGCCGATGCATGAAGAGGACATACAGAAGACTGCCATCATAACTCCATGGGGATTATATGAGTACCTCTGCATGCCTTTTGGACTGAAGAATGCCACTCAGACATTCCAGCGCTACATAAACCACATATTCCAAGACATTGACTTTGTGTTTATATATGTGGATGATATTCTGGTTATGTCTGAGAACATGGAGCAACACCATCGCCACCTGCAGATAGTTTTTGAGCGTTTGCAAGAACATTCTCTAACCATCAACACCAACAAATGCGTCCTAGGCAAGTCCCAAGTAGATTTTCTGGGTTACAAGCTCAGTGAGAAAGGCTATTCTCCAGCTACAGACCGGGTGGACAAGATTTTGAACTTCCCACAGCCAACAACAGTTCTGGAACTGCGTAGGTTTCTGGGAATGCTGAATTATTACAGGAAATCAGTCCCAAAAGCAGCCAAACTGCAAGCACCGCTGAACAGTTACCTACGTAGTTCAGTCAAGAAGGATAAAACCCCTATCACTTGGAACCCAGAATCTCTGCAAGCCTTTGAGGATGTAAAGAATGCTCTTGCAAACGCCGCTTTACTTCATTATCCAGCTGCTGCAACAAATATATGTTTGGTAACAGATGCGTCAACAACAGCCATTGGAGCCACTCTGGAGCAGGAAGAAAATGGTGCATGGCACCCTATAGGTTTCTACTCCAGAAAGCTCACATCCACGGAACAGAGGTATTCAACATATGATCGCGAGCTTTTAGGCATCTTTGCGGCCATAAAATATTTTGAATACCTGCTGGAAGGTAGGCATTTCATTATCAAGACAGACCACAAACCCATCACATATGCATTTCAGCAGAGACCTGAAAAGGCGTCAGACAGGCAGCGCCGGCAATTGGAATACATATCCCAGTTCTCTACTGAAATTGTGTATGTGAAAGGTGAAGAAAATGTAGTGGCAGATACATTATCAAGAATTAACACTATTGAAATGCCTACCAGACTGTCAGCTGAACAAATATGTATAGAGCAAAGCTTGGATCCAGAAATGCAGGAGCTGCTTGGTGGAGAAACTTCTCTCAAACTACACAAATTAACATTGGATGGTTTTCCGATCTATTGTATAATTGAGTCAAACTTTGTTAAACCTTATCTCCCACAGAGCCTCCGCAAAACTGCATTCGACGTAGTCCATGGTATTTCTCATCCAAGCATCAGGACTACATCCAGGGAAGTACGCAGCCGGTATGTTTGGCCTGGAATTGGAAAGGATGTTGCTACTTGGACTCGTCAATGCATATCCTGTCAAAAGTCCAAAATCCATAAACATAATCATTTCAATCCTTTGCACATCCCTATTCCTGATGAAAGATTCTCTCATATTCATATTGACATAATTTCCTTACCCAATACTAATGGTT